TATCTATCTATCTATCTATCTATCTATCTATCTATCTATCTATCTATCTATCTATTCATATATAATATCCATCTCTTTCATTAGCGTTCACTTATTATCATAATGTATTATCCGCTCGGCAGTCCTCTATTGATTCATTATGTCTGATTGATTCGTTTGACCAGACCGATTGATTGAGGAATTGATTGTCTGTTGTCCTCCCCAGGCCCTCCAGCGAGATGGCTCGTCCCACGGCCCTCACGGCACGTCACAGTCTGCCCAGGTCGCCCTGCTGGAGCGGCAGTCCGCCTCGGTGCCTGGTAAGTGCCGGGGGAGGGGAGGGTTGTTTGTGAGCAGTTTGAGCTGTTTGTAATAATATGTAGCATTGTATTTTGTTCCCGGAGCCGTCTTCATTCATTAACTGTTAACTAACGCAGTGGGCGGAAATGACAATGTGTAATTAACCAGCTGTTCGCCTCAATTGTCTGGGTGGGGGGGAAGTTGTTTTGTTCTGTTTTTGTTTGTTGTTGTTCTTGTTGTTGTTTTGTTTGCTTTTTACTTTTTTTTTGGGGGGGGGGAATGGGGGTGTTTTGTTTTTTGTTTTCCTTGGTCATTAAAAAAATGAATACTTGGTGTTCTTTTCCGAGAACATGTGTGAGTGGTTAGTGGGTGCCGTGGCGTGGTTTGCTCTTTCTTTCTTATCAAACATCTATCATCGTTATCTCTCCTTTTTGTGTATGTTACTCTCTTGTAACACCTTTAATCTTCCACTGGTGTACACACGCATGGTGGCAGGCCCAACTCCCTATATATATATATATATATATATATATTTCCATGACTTGCAAACATTCTCGTATTTGGGGTTCCTTTGGCAGTTTTTTCTCTTTACGCATTTCGCTTTATGCGTCGCAACCTTTTTTCTTCAACTTACTCCACTTATAAAGTGGTCATGACTATAAGGCAAGCTGACTGACACATTATGCTTCAGCACGCATGTTATAGTTCGTGCTGAATATTAAAGACTTGCACGTGGCTGTGATTGGGTTATTATTGATTGGTTTGTTTGGGATCTGTTTTACTGTAGTGTTGAGATTCATTGTGTGTTGTGTTGTGTTAAACTGGTTTCGTGCATTTGTCAATGAACCCTTAATTTAAAAAAAAATAGTCATGCAAAAATAGTCATTAGTATAAGATCAACTTTATTTAATTCAGCTTTCTCTTTTATGGACATTTGGATCTCTCTGATCTGAAGTTGTAACCTTACATATGAAATCATTTGTTTCAAAAGTACTCCTTATCCTTTTTCGAAAGGAAGTGTAAACTGAAATGTGACGTGCGCCAAGCAGGAGTCGCCAGGAGCTCTTCCTTCTGTGTGGGGTTTATCTATCCAGCTGTTATGTTATGTTCATTGATTTTCTACCTCACCGAATAAACTAATAATATTGTCTCGTTGAACTGCTGAAATGTCGCTGACAAGTGCCATATGGATAATGACTCTGAACTTTTAAAACACTTGTTTGTGGGGTTTTTTTTCTCATAAATCCGCCAATGCTTCTTTTGTTTTGGTTAGACAATGTCATTGTTGTGTGTCTTTTGCTGTTGGTTAGATTTGTGATTTTGTGGATTTGTTTATTGAGGGCGTGTTTGTTTTCGTGGATAGCAGAGGTGGTTTTGCATTGTATTCATTTTATTCCAGGCTTCCAGTCATTAATCATAACGTCTTGATTTTGTTGATTCCATAGGAACGTCACTTCGACCTTCCCATTCCTTCAAGGATAAACGCTCTTCTTCCGCCCCTGTTAAACCTCAGGTGAGTTGAACCCCCCCCCCCAAAAAAAAATTTTTTTTAAAATCCCCTTACAATTTCATTTTCTGCTCTCTATGGCAATATTTGATTTGCCTCAGATTGTTTTGCTTTTATGGTGATGAGACGAGCCAAAAGACCAAGGTCTACCTTTCCGTGTGTAAATTCTCTTTTATTTGAATATGCTTAATGCCTTTCGGACATATAATATGTCTTTTCAAACCAAACTGAATTGTATGCCATTTGACAGTGAAAACCGAAGTACACCACCAGATACTATAGCGTATTTCCTGCACACACGCTAGAGTTTAAAGTCCTCATCTGTGCGTCCGTTATCGGGTAAAACAAAGTAATATCCTGTTCCGACGCCACTCACAAGTAACAATGGCTGTCTTTGTGCTTTCTGATGGAGCCAGATTCCTCCTCTTTCAGACAATATGTTTCATTATGTTGCCGAATGTTGTTTTGGTTTGTAAAACTATGTCAGAAGTGGAGAAATGTGAGGTAGGGAGGGGGCTTAATGGAACCCATTTATCAAAGCTCTGACCCTGTGCGCTACATCAAATCACGTGTCCTTGGGCTTGGACGTAGCTTCCCGCTGCTTCCTGCGGCGTAGAGGTCAGAGACCTACGTCTCAAAACAGAATGGAGATCTTCCATTATCATCCAGCCCCATGTGAGCTTCTTGACAAGGAAAGATTCACTGTAAATCATGGGTTTGAAAGAAACGAATACCGATACCGAACCAATGTTCGTTTGTTTTAATGGTTACACGCATGAGACGAAGTTTTGTATTTTATCAGGAAAAGCGATGGGATGATAAGGTTCTTTTCATGACAGAGAGAAACATTATGATGACCAATGTGTTTTTCACTGACACGTGTAATTTGATGGCGCGGGGTCTTTTTATACCAGATTGTGACTGCTGAAATATGATGATAGATGTTTTTGTATACCGTGTTGTGCATATATATGTATTGTTTGTAAGCAAAGGCAATGGAGTTTACAATATTTATTTTTTTTAAAGACTCGCTGGCCTGAATTCGAACGAACTCAAATCACTTTAAAGGCACAATCACGTGAAGAAAGGGATATGAGAGAAGATACTGTACGCTTGTACTCAATGCAAGAGAAAATGTTGAGGGAGAGAGCAATAAAATAGGACATTAAAAAATTGAAATTTGAAGTTAATTTATTTCCCTCTGGTCGTTTCTTTTCAGTGCCTTAGTTTGTCTGTCTGCCTTATGTGTTTCTTTTTATCTAGTGCCTACCATGTATCTCTCTTTAGCTGCATTTAAGAAACAAATAAATCAGGAAAATTCTTAGCTTCATAAAGGTTGTTGTGGGTGGTTGGAGGGCGCCACTGATATATCCCATTTGTTGTTTTTTTTGTTTGCTTGTTTTGTTTGTCTGTCTGCATTCTCCCTGCATTTAACAGCATTTATTTGGTCGTTGTGCTCTTTACTCAATAAAACAAACAGTAAAAGTTATCCCTCGGTGTTCACTGATTGCGTTCTTGATTGCTTTTGTTCCTCAGCCTAACCAACAGCTGTCAGCTCCTCCCCAGCTGTCCCACAGGCACAGCCTACCCACGTCCAGGTGAGTACTATGCTCAGTGCTCGCGACGCGCACGCACATACACACATTCACGCGCGCACGTCAGCTCACACTCATTCTTGTTTGTCCTCATGTTATGTACACCCATACACACCAGCGTACTTGCTTTAGGTCTAACTCGCGCACAACATAGCGCACTTGTTGATCGAAGCACGTGCTGCCTGCAAGACTGTATTAACTTTGTGTTTGCAATGTTGTTGTTGACCTGGATGATCAGAGCTGAAAACAAGTTGTACTTTCAGCAAAACTAGCTCCCTGTCTATCGGTGTTAATTGTTAGAAAGTTCTCGTGAAGATATGCACATTTGGAAACTTATAAAAACAACAAACGACGAGATGTTGTGGAAAGATCAATCCTTTTGACCGAGGGGGGGGGGGTTCTGAATCAAATCCAAAAGCTCTTATTGTCCATGTAGAAATATATATGTTGTGTTAATGTGTTAATAATGCTAGTAGATGTCGTATTTGCTATTGATGTGATGAATGTTCTGGCACACTGCTTCAAACGCGAATTGGATATCTGTCCATGACATTTATTATTGTCTGTTAGTTTTTTCCTTCCCTCCTTGCTATTGTACTTTTGACCTGATAATATGTACATGCCATCTGTGACTAAACAAGAACAAGACCGTTCACCTAAATATTTGACCGGTGACATGATAAAGACAAACATACCTTAAGTTTACTGAGGTCTGTTGAACAGAATGCTAAGCCTGGATGATTTCCCCTTTTGCCGTGTGTCTTTCTTGGAATTGCAGAAAAGGTGTGGATAACTATTGTCACATTTCTTTAACAATTATTGATCACAATGATGACAACGTCGTTTTCTCAGCTAACAATTTAACTAATGTAGTATAGTCAAGACTCTCACTACAAGTAGAGTGTTGTCTGATACAATGCAATGTCGTCTAGTCTGTTGTACCCCAGGCGACGGAGACGAGTAATGACGAACCCCTGTCGCTATTTCCTTATCGAATAGCTTGTCTGCTGGTTTCGTTCCTGTTTTGCTTCTTTTTTTTTCTTTTTTTTTTATTCTTTGTTATCAGGTCCACCTTAGCGCAATAAGATATAATCAGTTCTGGGCGGTTGTTAATTTTAGTAAAACGCCCACCTCGTTCAGATCCGATGGATCTGTATCAGACTCTTGTCTGGAGGTCGTTGCTTTGCTAAGCCCACATCCTTATTTAGCCTATGGTGTTGTTGATGTTAACCTTTGCGAAATAGTTACCCATGCTATGCTATGCTGTAATGTTGTTTTTCTTAACCTAACGCTGATTTTTTTTCACGCTGTGCTGTGCTATAATATGCTGTTGTGCTGTGTTCATGTATTTCTGTATCGTGTATTAACACTTGCAACATTTCTGTGTCTTTGTGTTCCTCCGTGTGTCTTGTCTGGCTGCCTGCACGATCACGTATACCCTGCCCACCCCCACCCCCTCCCAAAAAAATGGAAACTCTTGACCTCTTGCCCCCGCCCAATCAAAATTAATTATACCCCTTTACACCCTCTCCTTAAAAAAACCTACCCCACCTTCCACAACTGCGACTCCGTCCCTATAAAATAAAAAATTGCCCCGAAAAAAAATTTCTCAACGAATATAATACATACACTGCCACTCTCTATCGATTCATTAATACGCGCATGTACCCTCACTCCCCCACCCACACCCACACCCACACCCCCATCTCCATTCCCTTCGTGCACGTGCATGGCATGGCCACGCCCCTCTCCCCTCCCATTGCGCCCTGTGGCTCCGCCCACCGACAGCCTGTTCGGCTCCCCGCCCAGCAGCAGCAGCTCCGGGTCGTTCTTCCAATGGCCAGTCAACTCTCCCGTGGGCCGCTTCAGTGTGCTAGAGTAAGTGACCCACGGTCAGCACCCACTTGCAACACAGCCAGTAATAGATGTACCCACTCCGTCTGACAAAACCACCAGCACTGTTCACATGAACTAACTCTCTCTCTCTCTCTCT